TGCCAAGCCGATTACAGCCTAAAATGGGACCACCAGCATATTTCACAATAGTTTTCACTCTAGATGGCAGCCTGTCCAGAGGAAGGTGGAGACAGAAGTCAGAACTACCACCTACAGCAATTCAGAGAACAGAAAAGGCTGAGGAACCTGTTCTTGATGCTGTTCTTGCTAAAATGTGAACACACACACACACACACACACACTCACACACACCGCACTCGAATGATTAATAGATATCTTACCCAGGACAAGCAGCCTAAGCCAGCTGTGTGAGATTCAAGAAAGGGTGGTGCTAGATACACAATATACGACAAGTTGTCTGGGCCCTGTTACAATAAGCTTATTATTTAATTGATTTTTTTTTTTTAAGAGAGAGAGAGAGAGGAAGAAAGAAACATCCATGTGAGAGGGGAACATCTATGGGCTGCCTCCTGCACGCCCCCTACTGGAGATCAGACCCATAACCCAGGTATGTGCCCAGGATTCAAACTGGCAGCCTTTCTTTGTACAGGACAATGCCCAACCAACTGAGCCACACCAGCCAGGGCTGTCATTGAGCTCTTTCAGTAACTGACATTACATGCCTTCAAGAGAATGTCAAGGTATATATAGAATAAACTCATTGTCTCATGTTATCGCTGGATTCTTAGATTTTTAAAATAGTTTACCACCTCTTTAGGGAAAGGCTATTCTAACTGCGGTTAATCAAGTTTCTGAAAGATGTAGTCGATGAATGTTTGCCCATGAAAAAGTATCTTTAGAAAATGTGATTGACTCGGTCTTTCTCTTTTCCTTTGAGTAGCAGCAAAAGAGTTAGAGTCACTGTGATGTCCTCCCCAGCAGGCTCACCTGGCTTCTTCACCTGCTGACAGAGGGGAAACCTCAAAGTACAAGTACTTTTCCAGCTTCTGCTGTTTCTGTTGGTCAGAGCAAGTCAAGGTCAACTTGGGAGAGAAGTACTCAAGGGCATGGGCATATGATTTGGGGGTCATTACTCTATCAATCTACCACATACATAAAATCCCGTACATGACCTGAAATTTGTGGGGGAGGAAAAAAGAGATAATTTTCATACTACTTTAAACTTGTACCTCATTTCTGGATCTGGTCACTGGATTATTATATTTTTACTAGTGGCCTGGTGCATGAAATTCGTGCGGAGGGGGGGGGAGGGTGTCCCTCAGCCAGGCCTGCACCCTCTCCAATCTGGGACCCCTCAAGGGATGTCCAACTGCCGGTTTAGGGGATCGGGCCTAAACCAGCAGTCGGACATCCCTCTCGCAATCTGGGACTGCTGGTTACTAACCACTCACCTGCCTGATCACCCCCAACTGCCCCCCCTGCCAGCCTGATCGCCCCCAACTACCCGCCCTGTCAACCTGCTCACCCCCAACTGCCCTCCACTCCTGGCCTGATTGCCCCTAACCGCCTCTGCCTCGACCCCGCCACCATAACTTTGTCCGGCAGGTCTCCCGGTCTAATTAGCATATTACCCTTTTATTAGTATAGATTAAGCCTTCTAATTACCTCATAAATCACATGATCACTGCATTTGGGAGGTTACTTCTGTTGAAGGTATTTATTAAATTTAAACATTGGCAACACACACACACACACACACACACACACCTGCCTGACAAGTATGGCTCAGCGTTTGAGCATCCACCTATGAACCAGGAGGTCACAGTTTGATTCCCGGTCAGAGCACATGCCCAGTTTGTGGGATCAATCCCCAGTGTGGGGCATGCAGGAGGCAGCCAATCAATGATTCTCTCTCATTGATGTTTCTATCTCTCCCTCTCTGAAACCAATAAAAATATATTTAAAAAACAACAACATATAAACCAACAACAACAAAAAAGAGTTGGTGGAAATTCATTTCAGCTCAGGGCATAGGCCTGGTTTGTCTCAAGGTATTCCATTCTCTTTGCTTAGTGATTAGTTCAAGGAAGGGCTGAGGTTGCAATTTGGGCCAATGAGACAGAGAAGAGTTTTACTAGAGGCTTCAAGAATTTGTTTTCTCTCCTGAGAACCACAACAGCCATCCTTTCTCACCCTCCTGCTGGATCTTAATGGGGAGGCATAGAGCACCCATGCTGTGGGTAGCCATCCTGACTCAAGGGAGAAGAACTAGTAGCCGTGGGGTGACACCAACACCAGATGGCAGAGCAGAGGGAAGGAAGGAATCTGGGTCTTTAGCATTATTGAGCTTCCAGATAAACCAGTCCTCAGCCTGCTCTTCCTGTGAAATTTCCAAGGGTGAACCAGTGACCTTCCTCATCCCTTAAACCAGTTTTGGTCAGATTTTGGTAAATGTAGCTGTTAGCATTCCACCTTCCATGGCCACTGTTTGGGAGGTACTGTACCAGAGCTGTGGTGCGTCAATATAGCATGTGGCCCAATGTGGAGCACAGAGTAGAGTGTTCACATCTCACTTTCCACCTGGACATCTAGCCCAAAAGGTCTCCCACTCTCTCCGCCAAGGGGTTTGTTCAAAGTATCTTGCCAGAGTCCACTTGCACAACAAATATTTGAGTGCCTGCTATGCACATGGAAGCCAGATTACTCTTTCTACAACAACACTCTTGGCCTGGTCCTAAGCTACTCAAAAATGCCCGGTGGCTTCCCCTGACTTTACAATGAAGTTCTGGCCAGTAAGCCTGACACTCAAAGCCCTGTGAAAGCTGACCTCACCTTCTAGTCTCAGCTCCCCCCTGAGCTCTCTACTGTAGGAGGACTCATCACCTGTCTTCTGAACACTTCATGATGTTCCATCTTGGACCTTTCCCTCTCATCATAATCCTCCCAACCTCCAAAGCTGAGGATGGCAATCCCACCCCCATCCAACCTTGGAACTGTCTCTTTGCTTGGTTTTACTTTAACACTTGACTCCCCCATGAGCATCATCTTTTGACATTATATCAAGGAATTCATATGCTCTTTCCTATCGATAGAATAACTGCATCCCTAGGTTGGCCTACTTAGTGTATTTTAACAACTAATTTTTACTATGATGAGCTGTATGCTTGTGCAGCCATTCATTAGTTCATTTATTGATCGCCTGCTATGAACCAGTCCCATATACTATATCCTGGGGACATAACGAGGTCCCTGCCCTCTACTAACTCACTTCTCAAGAGAAAGACAGATATTAAATGACATAATGACTGTATTCGAGGTAAGGGAGCATGGTGGGGTGGGGGCGACTAGTTCTGATTTTCCACCTAGAGAAGAGAGGAACAGCATTCCAGGCAGAGGGAACAGTGCTGCAAGGCAAGATGGTGTTTGTGAGGAACAGGGTGGAAGTTTGTTTGGCTGGGGTCTTAGGCTGCAGCACTTCTCAGACTTCAATGGGCACACAAATCACCAGGGGGCTTCTGCAGGCCTGGGCTGGGGCTGATGTTCTGCATTTGTAGAGAGATCCCTTGAGTTGCAAGGCCTGGGAGGACTAAGACAGTTCCTGGTGAGTACTCTCTTCTGCCTTCCTTCAAAAAAGACATGAATGCTATTTGTTTCGAGTGAGTGTCTCCTAGAGGGAAATAGGATGTGTGTCTTGGGTTCCAGGGCAGACCTAATATTTAATATTGGCCCTTACATCTCTCTCGTACATCCCAAATTCCCACCATTGACTAGGTGATCCCACACCCCCTCAAGACCCTTCTCCAAGAATAAGAGGGATAGTGCCAGAGAGCCCCAGGCTACTAGGTGGTGACAGTGATATACCCTGTTACCCTTAACATTCCAACAAGGGATAGTTTGATTTGATTTATACTGAATACAGTAAAATCCTCACTCATTCAGGCTCTATTAACCTGAAATGGGTGATAATTTGTATAGTCATTGTTTATTCCTCAATGAGTAGGATAAAGTTTCATAACACAGTTATGATCATAAAGATGATTAAAACATTTTAAAAAGATTTCAACTAAACTTACATGAAACAACTACAGGGCATCCCAAATAATGCATACACACTTTAACAGCTCAATTTTGAAAATGAACTGTATTTTAATAAACACTGCCTTTATAATTATTCAAAGTGTCTGTGTACATTTGGGGGGACACCCTACATTTATATATATAAGTAATCATCTACTTTTTATAAGTAATTCTGTAATTTGTTTATTTCCTAAAAAGCTCGTTGATTTACCTCCGGGGTTATAAGGAAACAACAACAATAATCGTGACAGCACATATTTATTAAAGCTATGACATCTTTTCTATACAATTGTAATATGAAGAATCAAAAACTTAAAAGCAATTTTAAAAAATTACATTATTGAATTTTTGGTCAAAAAGCATCCATTACAAGAAGGCCCCAGTACCTGTATGTAAAATGATGAGCCTTGAACTGTGCTGTGAAGTCTATTTCGAGCTAAGGTCGAAGGAAAACTAGAAATGGAAGGACACTCTCCCTCAGGGGACACTGATGCATTTCATTTGATGAACTTCTAGAAAGAACAAACTGGGTGGGGAAAGGAAAAACTACTTGCTATTCCAGAAGGCTGCATTTTAGCTTAATCTGGGGCATCTCACTTGAATTTCCTTCCATACCCCAATTTTCACTAAATAATGTTAAAAAACTGAAATTTGAAAAGCAGAAACAAAATGGGATTTTCAAGCCATGTCTACCTGATTGTCAATCTGCTTTTACCCACAAATGCGTTCTTGTGATCATTCATCATATCAATCTTCAGAATATTTATGACAAATATTTGTGACATAATGTAATGTTTTGAGATTATCATCACAATTGGTTTACCTGTTTCTATGTCCAGGTGCATATTCAATTAAAATAAGTTAATCCCTTGGGTTTTACAAGTGGATTAACAAAACAATGAAATACATTTAGGTTTAAGTGACATCATTTTGGTAAACTACTAAGGTATTTTAACTTCTAACATACTGTATTGATGCATTTTATACAATTAAATCTTCTCTTTCCTTTAAGATCTGTCATTTTTTATAGATGACTTTTCCTTTAGCTATAACATACTCGATTAATTCGTTATGGCCTCCAAACTGGTAAATCAAATGCTCCCATCTAGAAAGAAATCAAACATTACTTCAATACATACAAGTCAAAATTATCACTATCCTTAAATGCTAATTTAAAAATACATTCTCTAAAAATTTCTTTATACCTAGTCATTGGTATTTGGGCTTTAAAAAAATGGCATATTACTTACTAACTAGCCTGATAAATCAAATAATGTTTAATAATACCATTTAAGTATTTGAACTTAAAATATTTGATTCAATTAAATAATGCACAAATGGTAACAACATCAACATTGTTTTCAGGAGAGAGAGTGGCCATGGCTGGTGTGGCTCAGCTGGTTGGAGTGTCATCCTGTACACCAAAAGGTGGCTGGTTCAATTCCTGGTCAGGGCACATACCCAGTTTGTAGGTTAGATCCCCATTCAGGGTATGTACAGGAGGTGGCCGATCAATGCTTCTCTCTCTCTCTGTCTCTCTCTCATTCTCTTTCCAAAAAAAGTAACAACAATAAACTTTTTTAAGAAAAAAAATGAGGGTGATTTATGACCACAGAGAGTAGAATTACAGAGTCACTCTCTTCTGTTGAAGGTGAGGTCCAAGAGCTGGGATAGGTTCACTAGAGTGAGGGATCGAAGATATAGAACAAGAAGACTCAAACTGTCACATGGGAGACCCAGATGGCAGCAGACTGTGGGTGAGTAATAAGAAACCAGGACAGGAACACTGACGTGAGGATTTTGGGATCCAGAATCAGGGTGACAAGCTGAAGTTGGGACCTGTGTGGCCCAGTGTAAGCAGAAGGTCAGAAGCCAAACAGAAAAACAAAAACATATGCCAGAGGACACAACAAGTCCAAAGTCCAGGTAGAAGAGTAGAAGCCTAGAGATCTATGAAAGATATAAGGTGGATGAAGAGACCGGAAAATGGAGTCTACCCTGTGGTTTAGGACTTGTAGAGAGACTTTGTTGTAAAAGGATGAAGATAGATGGGACTGGGTAGCTTCTGAGCCTACACTAATAGAGCCTGACACTAATAATTCGTGGAAAGGGGTTTTAAACCAGGTCTATATCCCACAAGAGGCTTAAAACAGCTTAGCTGGGGATTCACTCACCTGGATGAATTGATGATAATGAGATCTCCCTGTTTGCCAACTTCCAAAGATCCATGTGTGTGAGATTTTCCCAGTGCATAAGCGGCATTGATGGTGGCTGCGGCCAAGGCCTCGGGCATGGACATTCTCATGTTTACACAGGCCAGATGCATGACCATTGGCTGAGATGGAAGAGAAAAGCGTCAGAGGAAAGTAACAAGAGGGCAACTGCTTCCTGGGACATTTCTCCAACACAGCACAGCAAATAATGGTGATTAAATGTGTAGGTGGAAATGGCTTGATTGATATGGGAACATTTAAACTTACACATAAAGGTTCTTATGCTTTAAGAAAAAATCCTTTATTATCAAGATTACCCCCATGTGTATTTAATAGTTATTTACAACTTTTCAAGACCACTAAGTTAGAAAATAAAGCTCCCCTCCATGCTTACTCACTAAAACTTCTTTGAGTTTATCCTATTCTCCAAGGGAAAAAAATGGCTTATTATAAAACAATGCCCAAGGCTATCAGAAAACAATGCAAACAGGACCTTTTCTCCTTTCTCTCTGCAGAAAAATCCAATTACACTACTATCTATATCTTTTTTCCTTGTTACACAGGAAAATATTTTTTGATGTTTGGTACATTTAAAAAAATATTTTAAATTATTTATATGCTTTGTAGAAGTTTGATACTCTGCCCTGAAAGGCATATTGAAAATAATTACCATTGAAAAGCAATAGGCATTAGGGTTGAAGTCACTGCCCAAAGCAACTATTACTCCTTCATCTAACATCTTCCTGGCGCGAGGTTGCTTCAGCCTAAGGGAGGGGGAAAAAGATGTCAGTATCCAGAATGGGAGCTTTTGCAGAATAGATGTTCCAAATGGAAGGAGACTTAAGATATCCAACCCTTATTTCTTCTGGGAGAAGAAACAGAAACTCAAGGTTAAGTGATTATTGATTGATATTTCCTGTTTGTAGCCTATGTTAATGTATGTGTATAAGATCATAGTAAGTTTCAGGATAGCACTGAAATAGTTCTTTCTTCTCCCTTATAACCATTACTCAAAGCCTTGTTTTTCGATCCCTAAGACAGCGTTTTTCAACCTTAGTGCAATTCATTTCTTGGGCTGGATAATTCTTAGTTGTGGGGTTGTTCTGTGCGCTGTAGGATGTGTAGCAGAATCGCTGGCTTCTATTCATCAGATGTCAGTAGCACCACTTAGTTGTAACAAACAAAAAATGTCTCCAGACATTGACAAATGTCCCCTGAGGGGCAAAAATCACTCCAGGTCGATAACCACTGTGCTAAGGCCATACCTGCTGAATCACCGCCTTGAAAACCAGGTATCCCAACCTCACAGAAAGCACCTGGCTGTAAGAGGATAAAACGTCTCTTGAATGCCGGCCTCCCTGACCACAAACTTGTGGTCGTTATGCAGGTGGCACAAAGGAAGGGTCAGAAGGGTCTCAGATTTGGTAGAGTTAGAGCAATGGCAGTTACACAAGATGGACTAAATGTATTCAATCCACAGAGGGCACACAGCACAATTCCTGGAGAGATTTTTACAGAATAGACATCTCCTCTTTCCTCTCACCCCCAGGATTTATGAGGATTCTGGTACACAATTGTGCACCCACACTCAACTTCTCAGAAAACAGCTCATGCAGATTCTGAATACTGTTAAATATCCATAATATCTTATGCATGTTTTTGTTTGTTTTGTTAGAGAGGAGGGGGGAGAGAGAGAGAGAGAGAGAGAGAGAGAGAGAGAGAGAGAGAGAAAAAACATCAATTAGTTGCCTCCCATAAGCGCCCTGACCAGGGATCAAGTCTGCAACCTTTTGGTGTATGGGACAACACTCCAAGCATCTAAGCCACCCAGCCAAGGCTTATGCATATTTTTTAAAGTATAAAGCTTACTTCATTTTTTTCTAATTATAAAGGTAATGCATACTGATTTTTCTTTAAATTAGAAACTCCAAAACTAGTTAAAAGAAAAGAAAAAGAAAGAGCCACCATTCCCAACACGCCCACCACTGAAGGTCAATTTAGTTCTGATCTCCTTCCTCAGGAGAATTCATTTCTGAACATCATTCCAGAATTGGCACCTTCCATGAGCTGAGTTTTCTTGATCTGCATTATTAAGGGATTTGGAAGGGCAATGAGATTAGTTAGGCATCTTGGAGGTCTGTGTCTTCACAAGGTGTACGTGCAGCTCTTGTGTGGGGGTGAGGCCGACCTCACCTGAGCATATAGGCCGTGGTGGGCAGAAGAACCGCGGAGCACCCAGCCGTTGCCATGGCAGCAATGCCTTCATCACTCACTTCTTCCAGGTGACTGATGGCCCGGGCTCCCAGCTCAGCCCCGAGCTAAGCAGAATGAACAGAGAGAAAAAGATTTAACCAACAGCAACAACAAATTAATAAAGTGCCATAAAACTGCTTTTCCTGCCAAGATAAATAGCACTCTCTTATGAAGATTTCCTGTCAACTACCTTTCACAAGCACAAGCCCCAAAATGGATAAAAGGTTTGTGAGGGACATTCATTTGAAAATTAGCTAGTGTGCTGCTTTAACAGCTATTTGTCTACATAAATGCTTATTGACATTCTTCAGACATTTGCTAAAAAAGAAAATGTTATGGATCTTATGAATCAGAATAAAACACTGAGTAATATTGATAACAAAATCTATTATAGCATCATAAAATCACAATAAAAATGTATCTTGGAATGCCATTGCTCTCAGTGAAAGCAGATAATCAGTTAAGAAAGCACACTTTAGTCTACGGCCATACCACCCTGAAAGTGCCCGATCTCATCTGATCTCAGAAGCTAAGCAGGGTCGGGCCTGGTTAGTACTTGGATGGGAGAAAACACACTTTAAAAATGTGGATCATGTGTGTAATTTGAGAATACTCCTTGAGCTTGAGTTCTCTCCAGATGAAAAGTTTGGCTACATTGTTAGAAGAAAACCAAGAAGAGGCAATGCTATGAGGATCATGGAACCACTAACGTGGATTTCTTCTCATCTTGACAATTTTACTCTCTCTCTCTCCCTCTCTCTGCCCAGGATGAAAAGTGGTATGTTAAGAAGACATATTCCAAGGAGAGGAGAGGAGACAATATTTGACATTGCACTACGGCCCAGGGCAGGTGCAGTCCCCCCAACACCAGGGCAGGAAAGGCCCCTCATCAGCAGCTGGCTCAGGTCTAAGAGCGTCGGGACCACAGGACAGACTATGCTCCCCCAGAAGAGTTCCTTTCTGACCTTGGAATCACCCTCACTTTCCCAAACTTGATTTGCTCATCCCGGGTGTTGACCTCTATTGATTTAATTCACCAGTCACTCTCTACGGCCAAAGGTATCTTGTTGACCACCCCTTTCAGGTGTCACTTAACAAATATTCAACAACTATTTACTTAGTAAAGGCCATGGGCATGCCAGGCACTGCGCTAAGCTCCAGGGACAGGGCTGCGTAAGACGTGGGTACAGTCCTCAGTGTTTGCAGTCCAGCAGGGATCGCAGAGGCAATTTTAACACAGTGGGATAAGTGCAGGAGGAGCTGTAACCCACTGCTGGAGAGCTTTGGGAGGGACCCCAGAGAAGCTGAGGCTAAGCTGAAACATGGAAGGGAGTTAGAATTAATTGGACAAGGGGGAGTTCGGATTAGAGAAACAATATGTGCAGGGCTGGTAGTTGAATGTGGCTGGTCCACCGTAGACAGGGTGAAGGTGGTGAAAAGGGGGAGGAGAGAGAAAGGAAGATAGAGAGATAAACTAGGGCTGGATCCTGGCAAGCTTACATATAAGGAGTTTGGAACTCACCCTATGAGCAATGGTAAGCCTTTAGGTGGTTTTAAGCAATAGAGAGGACGGATAGTTACACTACGAGGATGGATTACAGAAACAGATTCGAGGCAAGAGCAGTTGTTACAGGAAACCAGGTGAGAGCTGATGGTGGTTGGACCCAGGCAGTGGGGTGAAGAGATGTGGACCTAGAGAGATGCAGCAGGAAATTGGCAGGACTTGTTGGTTGGTTGAAATGTGGTAGGTGAAGGGGAGGGAGGAGTCAAATGATTGGGTTTTTGATTTAGGCAATAGATAATGGTGTCATTCACTGGGGCAGGAAACACAGGGCACAATTTGGAAGTGATTTTAAAAGCTCAAGCAGGACATGTGGTTAAGACACATGTGGGGTATCTACATCTGTATTTTTACCCAAGGGAAGTTGTCCATTTAGTGCCTCACCCCCCTCAAGAGCTGTCTTATTCACTGATGAATTCTCCATGCCTTCAACAGTGCCTGGCACACACTAGACACTCCAATATTTGTTGAAAGCATAAATAAATGAATCTGGGTAAGACTTATAGATTTGAACATCATGTCCTCGCTATTAATGGTGTGCTTCACTCACGTTCATCTGAATGATGCCACGGAAAACCCTAGGAGCTGCATGTGAAATTAATAGACTGCTAGTATGGCTTTCTGTACCAACCAAAATAGGTTGTGGATTTAATCAGTGAGATCACAAAGGTACTTCTTTCCTACTAACATCACCAGCAGGTGATAATAAAAGTAAATTACCAACCTGGCCGGAGTGGCATCGACCTGTGAACCAGGAGGTCACGGTTCAATTCCCGTTCAGGGCACATGCCTGAGTTGCGGACTTGCTCCCCAGTAAGGGGCATGTGGGAGGCAGCGATCAATGGTTCTCTCCCTCTCCCTTACCTTCCTCTCTAAATTTAAAAAACAAAAACAAACAAACAAAACAGCAAAAAAGTAAATTTCTAATAGAGGTCAGGAATTCCAAGGCTCAACCTGAGCAATCTGCACATTGTTCAAACAAATTTCCCCACTCCCTATCTTTTCAGAAGGCCGCTCCTGTCTTTGAACAAACTAGGTAAGTTTTCCATAACCTGAGTGTTGACAAAGGAAAAGCCAAAAGTCAACTGTACCTCCGCAGCCTTCATCGGGTGGAGTTCATCCCCATGGAAGTTAATCTGTAACCCTATATCTTTTCCACCTTGAAGAATCCTTCTGGTAGAATCCAGGTCAAAGACACCCTTCTCACAGAACACATCTATATTGTCAACGTGAATCTGCCCACTTCTGCCAAGTTCCTTCAGCTTTGGGAGGTGGTTATTGATGATGTCATCAGCAGCTTCAGTAGCAGTTTTCCCTCTGAGGGAAGAAAAGAATATTTCCATGGGCAAATATATTTTTTAACTGGAAGAAGGGTTTCTTGGTGCTTGGAGAACCTGAGAAACTGTAGGTAAATAACCTCAAGCCTCAGAAAAGTACAGAAAGAATCAAAGCTATTAACAATTGTGATATGCCTACGCAGCAGAGGTATTGATAAGACTTCTATATGCCCTGACCCTATTCACAGAGACTCAAATGGCTCATCCATTCTGGCACACCAGTGTTGCCTTTGGGAATGCTGGCAAGGTCATCTGGCTGAAAAAACAGAATCTACTTTTCAAGGGCACCTAGAGGGCATCCTGAAGGCATCCCTGACAACCCAACTGCAGGCCTCTTACCTGAGTCCCAGCTATCACCCTGTCTTTTTCTTCCTCTACACTATTTCTAAAAGCATCTCCCTAAGGCTTCCTGTCTCACCATTTGGGGACATGGAAGAAGAGGCTAGTAGAAGGACCAAAAATTCTCAATGAGATTCTGGGGTAGTTATATATTAGGAAGGGCTGGGCTTTTGCAGTCAAATACACACAGAGCTCTACCGCTTGCTAGCTACCTAACTCTTTGGACACGTGATTTAGCTGTCCTTTGGCATACTCTGAGCCTCAGGCTTTATCACTGGGCACCAAGACGCAGACCTCAGAGGCTCACTGGCAGATGGAGAAACCTCTAAAACTTTAGTCCCATAATTGGCACATAGAAGCCTCTCATTCAGTGAAAACCATTCAGGTGGGTAGATAGAGGAGATGGGCACTTATATATAATTCTCAAGATAATCGTATAAAATAGGGTGTTATGTAGCTATTTTATAGATTAGTAATTCATGTTCAAAAAGTTAGAAGATGCCTCAAAATCACCCAACTGGAAGTAGTTAAGCTGGATTCAGACCCAGGTCTGCTACCACTCCAAAGTTTGAGTCTTTTCTACCATGTCACACTGTCCTTTTACAAAAAAACAAAAACAAAAAACAGGCCATCACACACCTTATACTCCATTTGAAAAAAATCTGTTTCTATAGACAGGCTCTTCCCAGAAGTCTTAGGGCAGTTTCAAGCTTTAATAATTTCAGAAATATAAATGCTAAAGACATACAATAAACGTAATTGGAAATATGAAGTATGTACTTGTGCTTCTCTTCTACGTAATTCGTTCTCACTTTTTAATAATAAATTTTAATGTTAATTTCTTTAGTTCCTCTGAAGATGGTAAACACAAAATTACCATGAAAATGTTCTGTTTTAGAGTTCCCAAAACAAAATACATTTTATAAAACATACAAATTCTTTTTTCAAATAATTTTTTGCAAGCCTGTAGCATTTATATATCTAAGTTGTCAAAACCTAAAACTGCACTGAGACTGTGGAGTAGCTTGTGAATTTCCAAGTCCTGGATTTCTTTGGGATCTTTTAGTTCCGGGACTGCCTTCCGTTCTAGAAATTCCAGGACACAGAAGATGCAGATGCAGCAGGAGACAGCCATCCTCATCTCTCTCTTTTTTTTTAACCCAAAGAGTTGTGAGCATCTCTTCTTCCTTCACCATCAGGGGACTAGCAAGTGATGGGTCTGGTGGGGGTCACCTTCCTAGAACCATGTGTGAGATGACTGCCTGACCATCAGACTCAGAACACCTTCTCAAGGACTTCTACAGATCTCTCTGCAAGAGCTAAAGCTGTGAGCTGCCCTTGGGGAAAGCGGCCCCCTCAATGCCCAACCGAGCTAAACGCCGGTCCCATCGGCTGCGGTTACTTTGGCACTGAGTGAGCCCCGCAGTACGTGGCCGAGATGCCGATGGCCATCTGCCGCCGGGCGCGCTCGATCACGCGGAGCATCTTGAGCTCGGTCTCCAGGTTGAGGCCGTAGCCGCTCTTGCACTCCACCAGCGTGGTCCCCGCCCGCATCATGCACTGCAGCCGCTGCTGCAAGGAGCCGAACAGCTCCTCCTCCGAGGCCTGGCGCGTGCGCTCCACGGTGAAGTTGATCCCTCCTCCGGCCTGGTGGATTTCCATGTACGTGGCTCCTGCCAACTGAACACAACGCTCAGCTCACCGTTAGGCAGAGCAAATGCAGGGAGGTTGCAGGCAGGTCTGCAGAACCTACCTGCGCGGGGGAGGGGAGGGACGGGGTATTCAAAACGATTCACAATCTATATGCTAGTGACTAGCCGATCAGAAAAGGGGTGGGGGCAGGCAATTCCCAGGGAAATACTGGGATGGCAGAGATGGGAGATGTGGTGGAGACTTCTGGTCTCAGGGCAGCGGCAATTTACCACCGGGTACAAAAGTATTTCAGTATTTTAACAATCCAATCTACCCAGTGTATACCAGTTAAATCTCCGCCTATGTCTCAGCACCTTTAAGAAAAAAAACAAAGCTAAGCTATTCCGGGGAGGGCCCCACTGCAGTCACTCAAATCTCCACCAAAGAGACCTCAGTATTTGGCCACAAGAGTTTGGGACCTGACCGCTGCGGCTCAAGCAAATGAAGAGGCTCTTTGTGGGATCCCACTGGGCTCCTGTTACTCTGGGCAGCAGGAGTGTGGTGCACACGCAGGCTGCCTGCCCGGGGTCTCTGCCATGTTCATCTGGGTTCTGCCATGGTGAGCTGGTGAACGCAATGGACACCCTCCCCTCTGTGGACCCCACTTTCCACATCTACGCAATGAGAGAACTGGACTGCAAAGCTCTAAGGTTGCTCTTTAGAAACCTGGCTCTGAAAAGTTGGCTCTGGAATTCTGTGATTTAATAAAGAAGCCTTAAAAGCAGCTCTAGTGTGTTGAGGAAGGTACACAATATCTGAGAATTTTTTCTTTTCCTAAATAATGCAATTTAGCTGTTAGCATACAGACTTCCTTAGAAACAAAGTAAAGAAAAGGTATGGAGAAAACTCAAGTGCGTATCACCAAAAGGAAAAAGCCAACCTGGAAAGGCTACATACTGTATGGTTCCAACTATACGACATTCTGGGAAAAGCAAAAGCATGGAGACAGTATAAAGATCGGTGGTTGCCAGGGGTGGGGGGAAGAAAGGAATGAGCAGGCAGGGTGCAGAGGATTTTGAGGGCAGTGTAACTACTCTGTATGATCCCACAATGGTGGGTACATGTCATCTTACATTTGCCCAAACCCAGGGTAATGTAAACTATGGACTCTGGGGGATAATGTGTATCAATGTGGGTTCACCCATTGTAGCAAATGTACCACTCCACTGGAGGATGTTGAAAATGGGGAAGACTGGGGCGGTGGATGGATGGTATGCGGAAAATTTCTGTAGCTTCCGCTCAGTCTTGCTGTGAACCTAAAACTGCTCTAAAAGCTAAATTCTGCTAAAAACAAACAACGTCAAATTGGCTCCAACTAGCGATTTGAGGGTCTACATCTTATTAATGACTGATATTTTATGTTTCTTAATAAATCTCATTTTTCTTCTGGAAAAAATGAGAACAATATAAGACGTATTTTATTTTTGTTATGAGCAATATATTTGTCCTGGTTTGACCCTAATGAATGGTGATTTTCAAACTGTTTCCTGGAGCCTTTTCAAAGGCTCCCAGAGCTAGTGGGATGGGTTGGGGGAAGGAAAAGAGAGGAGAAATTAGTGAGCAAGGCAGCTCAGCGCTGTTAGAATAAAGATTCTACAGTTAAAATTTTTTGAAAACGATTATACTTAAAGCGATTGTTATCCCTGTGCATAGTATAAAGATTTGGGACAGTTATAAAATAGTTAATTTTGTTCTAATTTATTTTCTATAGTCCAGGCCAGTAAAATATCCATAAAAAGACACATAAGCAAAGACACAATATCAAATCTATGTTGCAAAGCCTGACAGCCCAAGGACTCTTTAGAAAAAGACTTGTCTGTTTGTTTATGCTTCATTTTGATTTGCAATCATTCATTGCAATTACCTTCATTGCAAACTCGTGAACTCTCTCACCAGCCCATACTGGATGTGTGTGTGCATCTACCAAACCTGTAATCAAGAAATCAAATCATTTTTAAAGTTAAGAATCAGAAAGCCCTTAGGTAGCAGGCCCAATACACATCCTGCTCTTTGGAAAGCATGAGGGTGGTCAGCCATCTTGGAGGGGGTGGAAGAGGAAGAATTTGTCTATTAGAGGCCAGCTCTAAAAGAGGAGGGTGACTCAACATGATGAAAATATTCATTTAAAAAAATGCAGCTCCTTTTGCCCATTAAGCCCATGCTCACCAAGCGAGCTTTTGAAATAGGATGTCAACTCTGAGTTGAGCAAAACCAATGACCATATCACCAAGGTGATAGTCTGGGTGTGAAAACAGAATCATACAATCCCTACTGTCAACCTTGAGAAAGAAAAATATGAAATCAGAAAGATAAACCTTTCTTCAAGAAAGAAATATATTTTAATTAAAGAGAAACTATAAAGCAATCACTTGGAACTTTTGTTTACCCTGGTACAATTCAGAAAAGTGTGTCTTTCCAGGTTATGTAAAAATACCTAATGGATCAAGTGGCTGATGAGTGGGTTTTGATTTGGAGTAAAATCAAAAGTCCTTATTCAGATCACTTTCTATTGTATTCTGTGCTTTCTCATAAGGTTTCACCCTGGCTTTATCTTCTATCTCCCAAGAGCCAAAAGGTAGAAGCTCTATCAGATATACACAATACACACTTGAAATGGATAAATATTAGCCTCTAAGTTTGCACAGAACTCAGAGTTTGTGAAACTTGTTTCAGATCACGACACAAAGCCACAAAGCATAAATCATATAGGAGGGAATGGTAAATAAGCTGATTCTGTTGTCAATCTCCAAAGATACATCGTCAGTGAAATCTCTAGGGATTTTTCTTTCCTTTTTTCATCTAGAGATGGGTCCTTTGTTGCATACTCTATTCGTATTTAAAGTATATTCTGGTAGTGGAAGTAGCAGTTTTCCCTGTTTGCCCTCCCTACACAACACATTAATAAAATTCTTCTCACAGTTTTTTAACCTAAACACAACACACCTGGTCTCTCTGCATTATGTGAATGGGAAGAAGTGGAATGAATGGATGGGTCTGAGTCCCAGCTTGCCCTTTACCTGTGTAGCAATCAAGGGTAAGATATTTCACCCCTGAACTTCAGTGTTCTAATCTGTAACATGCCGATAATGATCTTACCTTACAGGGCAGTTAAAGGATTCAATGTGAAAATATGTTTGTAAAGCAGCTAGCCATTTAATAGTAGAAAATAGATAAATTATAATTATTATATTTTAATATCATTGTAGGACCCTCTTTAAAACAAGCTACTACTCTTCCTCTTTATTTTACTAAAACTGCATTCGGGGTGTTACTGAAAAGAGGTTGATACCTGGCAAGATGCATTTCCCAGAACAGTCAATTCTTTCTTCAAACGTTTCTTCAGAAAACTGTTCTTGAATAACATTAGCAGGACCGATGGCTTTTATCAACCCATCCCTGAAGAAAAATCAAGGAATAATTACTAGTGTTTGGGGAAATATTGTGAGAAATCTGACTAATGATTTAAAATATGTTATCGATATCTCTTGGTGTCAGTCAATATTTACTGTATTTGTTTTTTTGAAGTTCTGTCTTTGGGAAAGTGGCTCTAGCCACCTGTAAGGCAAAAGGTCAACTCATGTGTAGCAGAGAAAGCTAGTTGTTCTCTGAGACCAATGTTTCTCTTTTCTCAAGGTGCTAGATTCCTAAAATTTAGCTGGACACATGATCACCCAGAATAAAGATACATTTCCCAGTCTCTTGGCAACCTGGTGTGGCCATGTGACTAAGTTTAGCCAATAGGATTGCTTTCTCTTCCTCTTTCCTAGTGGAAATACAGACACCCTGAGAGATGGAGCAGCCCTGTGGGATGATGGAGTGACTGGAGCAAAAGGGTCTTGCACAACAGAGCAAGATAGTGGGGGGGCCTGAATCCTCAGGACTCCAGACTCCAGATTGTGGCCGTCAGCTAGCCTTAGATTCTTACTTTTGTGCATTTCCGTTAACTGATTTTAACAGATTTTGCTGGAAATGGTTGGATCCCTTTGTTAATTAGAAACACACAGTCCCTAAAAGATGAACTCTTACACAACCCTAAGCAGCTCAGCTACGAGGAGATACTGACTGACTGCTCTTGC